TACATTGTCTCTTGACGATGTTACTCGTGGAACTACATAACATTCGAGTAGAGTCGCTATAGTTTCTTAAAAAGTGTAAAAAATAGAAATAGAGGATTTTTTTTTTATTTTTTTTTTTTAGAAATTTGGTAAATATATTGAGACGTTTTAGTAAAAAACAATTTAAACTTTATTAAACTAAACAGAACAATGATTTATATAGTTCTTTAAGAAAATGTCATGTGTACCTATTAATTTTTCCTTATAAAACAAAAATAGACAAACGTAACACAATTTGTTCTGATATACACTACAGTTCTGACCTACAAACACCTGTGATATACTGTAAATGCATAAATACATTGAATTTATAGCAGAAAAAACGAGTTTTTCTATTCTTTCTCCAACCGCAGAAGAGATGTACCTTCCAGCAGGTATGGCATTTCTTTATTTTCCGGTGCATCACTTCGAGTTACTTCCAAAAGTTACAGCTTTAGCGTTCTCGTTTTGAAATGTGGATGAACCAATACACTTGCTAAATCTCTTAACAAATGTCGTCGCCGTATATTTGGCTCTCCGTTGTTTGCTTTATATATCACCTGGAGTATTGATTCCTGCAACATTTAATTATGTATAGAATATCACCATGGGTCATCTTCTGCTATTACGGGAGCAGTTGTAACTAGCGCACAACTTATCTACAACGTCGATATCCTTTGTGTATTATTATAGGTAGTGAATATTACTGGGTTAGATTTATCATCACTGTTTATGTCAATATCCTTATCCTAGTGCATGCTTAATATTAAAATCAGATTTTTGTGTGGCTTTGGGATATAAGAAACGATTGAGATATCCTCTATAATGCCAAACATGCTTGTATGGATTGGACGTTCAGTGGGGTTTGAAAACTCGACTGGCAGTTCTGTTTTATTTTTGTTTGTCATTCCAATTGTAGTTATTTTGTGATCTCGAAGCAACTTTTTTACAAGCGAAACTGATGTAAACCAGCTATCTATTATCAAGTTAACGCGTGAACCGGAAATGTGTTTGCACAATCTTAAAACCACATCACTAGGTATTTTAAAAATATATATATATATATATATATATATATATATATATATATATATATATATATATATATATATATATATGGCCATCAGATTAGGATCCCACGTCGACTTCCATTTTTGAAGTATAAAATACTTTTGTATCACGAGTCCGTATTTATTAGGTTTTGACTTTTAATGAACTGGTCAAACACCATATAAATGGGAGTCAGCTTTTCAAAGCATTGCGCTTTCGCAAATAGTTTTCTTAAATGGAGGCTATGTATTTATTTTTATTTTCCACAATGGTATTTGCAGGTAATTATTGTGTGATCCAAGAAATAATTCCAGATCCCAACAGCGTCCTTAATATTTTTAATAATTTGTGTAGGCCCTGGTAAGCAAATTATGATGTCGTTATCCCGTCTTGTTCTAGTAGTTCTTGGCTTTGGAGGATGATTCATCCAGTGCGTCGTAAAGTTCTTATCTAAAACAATAAAATTTTTGCATAACTTGCTACTTTTTAGCATGACTACATATTCTAGTTTTATAATATACCCATAAAAATAAGACGGACAGACTGACGAACCATAGCAACTGTTTCATATGCCTCTGATATATCCTATTCTGATTCATTGTCGTATTTATAACTTGCTCTATGCCCTGTTTCTCTTTCTCTGATTCATCTTCGCATGCCACTGATTCAATATTACTATTATCTCGTTTATTTTTGCAAGTAAGCTTGCCCGTGCTTGTAATCTCTTATTACTTAAATCTAACAATATTTTAATTAGAATTAGAGAAATGTACAAATATCTTAGAGCTTACCTCAAAATATTTTTGGAGCGATATTAGTGACGTCGGTCTAAGACACCTGAAAGCTCGCTTACTATACCACACTATTACACTGTAATGGTCACACGCCGACTAACTGTCAGTCATAGCGGTACATGAAGTTACTAAAACGTTCGATTTCTTACAATAAGCTATTTAATACCAACATAAAAAAATAGTCTACCCCATCTCTCACATAGTGACGCCACTAACTAAAGGTTAATTGTTAAAGAGAACGATTCTGAAAATAAATATTTAAATATTGATGTATCGATTTGTTCACTTTCTATATACATACACGAATACCTTATACATTATTTATATGATTATTTTACATCTTAAAAATAAAAGAGTAAAATGAAACAAAAATATATGCCCAATGATAATAAATAAAGTAGAAAAGATGGTTCCCAATAGGAAGACGATTAGTAGGAAGACCACCAAGAAAGATGGAACAACAATTTACTAGAGGCACATTAAAAAACAGACGATAGAGTCATGTGTCCATAAAAAGACAAAGAAGAAGAGCATATAAAAGCAATGGTTTGTTTAACAAAAATACAAAAAATAACAATTCTACAGACGACTGTTTATGGAGACAATACACATTTATCGATAATTCGAACTTTAAACAAAATAAAATGCATCGCCATAAAATAACACCAACTTTGTAATGATATATTTTGCTTACCTCAGGGTAAGAACATTGGGGTCGAAAGTTGGGGACAGAAACTAAGGAGTTAAGAAGGAGCAAACAAAATAATCGATACTGGTGCGTACGGCACTCAGGGGTTTATTGGAGAGCTGGGTCGTGAATAAGTTGAACCAAATGGATAGGATTAGGGTAACTACAAAATGAAAACAAAGGGATACTTACATAAATCTTCTGGAACAAAACGAACAAGGTATGGACAGACAAGAAATACCTCTATCTATTTTCTATTATCCGGACGCTGCTTCGAGAAGACTTCCTGCTGGAGGAAAGAAAAATTCTTCTTTCCTAAAATCAAGAATACACACAATGGTTAAGACAATAAATTATGACATTTTTTAGCCACGCTTCTAACATAATATATAATTTTAATTATTACAAATTTTTAAATTTTTAAATAAAAGCAATACTTAAAAAATGTCTCTTTTACTTTGAAAATTAATATATTAATTGTTACCTTATTTTCCCATATTTCGCACTTTACTTTAAAAAAAAGTTGCTCATATCTCTGGGATTGAAGCTACCTGGACAAATTATCTACAGGAATAAAGGAAAACCATTTCTATAATCTGGAACGACGATCAAAGACGCAAAATACGTTGGAGCAAGCAGACGACAAACGAAGCTGGTGGTGACACCCTATAAACTGCTTTCAAAATTCAATCAGTTTCCGGTATACTGCACAAATTTTAATGTGGTTACTCTGTTCTAAAATGCCATATTACCAAGAGTAAATCATCACCTTGATGCTCACGTCAAACAGCCAGTTTGTCTCCACGAACCTAAACAAACATCTCTCTTCGACTGTCTCGCCAAATAACCTCGAAACATACTACTTTTTTAACTGGAATTTGAAAATTTTCTACCTCACTATGTATACAGAGAATTGGGGGATTTGAATGTAAATAAAGACAAAAATATTTAAAAATCGTAAAATAGTTTCGAAACACAATTCAGATTTCTGCTTTATAATCTGAGCCTTCTAAAAATTGCTAGGCAAATAGTTGATAAAACGTTGATAAAAGATGTTAAAAGAGACATGGGGAATCTAAAATTTGCATTCCACGACATGTCTTTTACAACTAAGCAGAAATCCTTAGTGAAATGTGCTTCTAGTACTCACACAGAGTAAATCCGAATAAAATGAAAAAAGGCAGCAAATATTTGATTTCACGCAAACAAATCCTATGTATCTGTTGATACGTATTTCGACCTAATAGGTCTCGTCAGAACAGCTATTCATAGGAGTTCTCAACGTGAAAAATCAATATTTTCTGCCTTTTAAGAAGCAACAATAACATGGCTTCAATACGGACGCGCTAGCGTCATCTAATTCCAAAAATCGCTACAACTTGATGGGAAATGTATTTTTGTGACCAAATATTTAATAACAATCTGATCCAATTAGTTAGATCCAAAACATGTTTTGTTTTCTGCTTAGTGTACATTTGAAGTTCACGAGCACCTTGAACATCGTCAGAATTGCCGCTATTGGTCTAGAGAAAAAACCTTACTGGATGAGAAAAGAATCCTAAAGGTACCAACAGTCGTGAACTTCACATCAAACATGTCAAACTAGAAAATTTCAATAATAATCTACCCAATCCATTACTTGAATGACACATTAATAGAATACAAACGTGACACAAATATGCTGCGTAACATCAATCAAACTCGATTGTGCAATGGAACGAGACTTAATGTGAAAAGGATAATCAATATTATTGGCGCTCCAATCATCAGAAAAAATACAAAGAAGAAGATGTCTTCATCTCGCGTATACCAATGAATCCAACGAACGTACCATTTGATTTAAAACGTTTACAATTACCCGTGTTTTTGGCTTTTGCAAAGACAATAAACAAATCACAAAGCCAAATGTTAAGAGTTGACGGAATTAACTTAGGATTTCCATGTTTCGCGTATCGACAATTATTCGCGTGTCGGAAAACCGTTATCGTTATATTTTTATGCAACACCAAAATGAATAAAAACCTTTTTATCAGAGAAGAATTAATTTGTTCAATTTTTTTCATGCATAAAATGTGTTAGTGTTTTTTGGTTTTATGTTCTGTTAATTTTTTAGACACATTTTTTAATTCTGAATCAAACCATACAATTTTTTCCTAGCCGATTAAAAATCTCAAATAAAGAACAATCAATTCACGCTATATAAGTAGTAACATCCTGAACTAAAAACCTAGTTGAAGATGATCAGTTCAAAACATCTACAATTGTTGTACGTTCCACTATTCACAAGTGAATATATTTTTGTTCTTTTTGGTTTCCGTAAAAGTAACTTTTATACAATAGTTATATTTCTCAGGTATTTTGCCTCGCAGTTATTATTTTTTGATTATGACTTTTACTTTATTTACACAAATAAATTTGTGAAGCTTCCTTAAAATATTTCTTTTTTGCAGAGAAAGATGGGAAAGAAAAAATATTACAATACACGACAACGGAACTCTTACATTTAACCTACAGAAAATTTACCATTTCGACAAAGAATTGTCTACAGGTAGTCCAGATGACCTAGTTGTTGTGCCAAATATTCCTATGTTGGTAAGTTAAAAACCATTCTTGAAAAACTTTATAAAATAAAATCTACATTGGTAATGATTATGTCCCTTGTCTATTTATATTGATTTAGAGATGAGAACAGTATTCCTAAAGACAAAAATCCACGCCAAGAATAAATGAGAATTGTATCGACATGTTTCATCCCTGAAATATTTAAATAGATTCAAATTCATCCTAAAAATAAGAACTTCTTTTGTGTTCTATTCAAAACAACATATATATTATAATCAACAAGCATGGCAGGTTGAATTGGATTTCTGAGGATTTATAATCTCATTGTAAATTAAGGCAAATCCAATTTGTTTTTTAATATTCAAGCACAGTGTTTCTATTAAGGGGCAACCGACCTCCATAAGGAAGCTCACCAGCAGAAGTAAACGAAAAACCACCTTCTCCTCGGCATTTGCCATATTCTCCGTCAGTCATTTTCGGTAACTTAGTACTCCTCCAATCTAAGCAGGATCCCTTTCCTTGAAAAGGCCCAGAAAAGACTATAAAATGATAGGCTTTCCTCTAGAGTAAATCAAAATGGTCATCATAAACAAGCGTAATAAGATAGTCGCCTGAGAATAAACCAGGAAATCAAATGGAAAAGACCATATCTAGGCTGCTTGTTTCAAATGAAGTTATTTATTAAATGTCTAAAAATTGTTTCTTGTATTTTTATCTTTTGAATGTATCTCTATTTTCGCATTTATTCCTTTTTTTATCAGGGATATATAGTTTTTTTTTTTCTATTAAGGATTTTGATTTATTTGTGCCGCTTTAATTCAATGGCTAAATTTATAAAATTGACAATTAATTATTCTGTTCCACCTTTTCTTGTACGCTAATGTAATACTCATTAGTCCATCACGTTTCATGCTTATGCTGACGTCAGTTTATGTAGAAATTAACTTAAAACCACGAAAGTATTATGAAGGTTATCTGCAACCTTTTCAAAATGAGTGAGTCGATTGAAGGAAAACTTAGTTATATTTACTATGGGCAATTTAAGACTAATAAGAAACTTTAAGTTTTGTTATTTTTTCATGGAAATTAAATAAAATTATTTGAAAATCAATTCAGACAGACATAAACTGAAAATGTTGTCATTAAAAATTGATTACTTATTATCAAACACACGCAATAAAAACGTGTAATACACGAATAAATAACTGAAAACCCTTGGAAAAAGTAATTGCAAAACATAATCATACTTTTTTGACAAACTCGCATCAGCCTGTATGAATATTAGGGGAAAACATATTAACATCCATAGAGTAGTATACACTCAAATTCTGTATAGTTCATGGTTTTTAAATATTGAATAATTACTTTGGCACCGCACTTGTTTCAAAAATACTTGTTTCAAATTTTCTGGGATTCCACATTCACCTCTTTCCGTACTGTGCAACGCACACACCACTACATTGGAAGGTGTTTTATTCCAAACATAGTCTCACAAGCATAACATTCCGGTAGGGAGTCTCGTATTATCAGATGCACAAAGTCGACTATATTCAAGGAGTTTTTGGATAGATCTCAATAGTTACGTCTTCTAAGGCTTCTCGTACATATTTACCTGCCAGGTCGTTTTAATCCCAATAAAGGATGATACCCACAAGAAAACAATATTTCTGTAATTTTGATTGGGCAATTCTTGTCTAATGAGTTTGGCCATAGGATAGGATGAATAGTTTTTAGAGATCGTTTCTAGAGAACTTAGTGAGTCTGTAATTATTAAAAAGTTAATTGCAGGACTTTTTGTAACCTAACATACGGCTCTATATATTGCAGAAATTGCTGCTGTTTAGATGGTATGAGTTTCACTAGTTTATATTTCGTTATTTCATTCTTTGTTATAAAGGCAGATGTTATACAATGTTTCGTCTTAGATCAATTGGTGAAAGGGGCAAAATTGAGAAATTAAGCTATAATATTTAAAATTAATTAGATGATGATTGGTTTCTTTCTTATTTTTTTTTGATAATATATCAAAATATATATGATTAAAAGATATTAGCCAAAGAGAGGAAATATGCATTTTGCTAGGGTAGATTTCGAGAACTTTAAGGTTAAGTTTATTTCTGATTCATCTATATCTTTCATAAAAGGGAATGTGGGTTTTTGCGTGCTGAATATTCGAATAATGAATGGTATGGTAATTTTGTAAAGAGTATCACTTCGTTGCATATGATAATCGTAGTTTATCGAGTATTGGCTTAAAGGCTTATATTTGGAGTTATTCTAAATTCAACCTATATAAAACTTTTAGACTTGTTATTGAACAGACGCGTAAGGATGGCATCAATAAAGGATCTTGGAGCGTGTATAAGTTAAGTAATGTGTCAGTTTTTTTCAAGATCATCCAATACTACTTGCTGATTCTCCTGTTTAGTTGCTTCCGAAAGATAATCTTAAATTTCAGAGTCACTTTCAGTGTCACCTACTTCAGAAAGCTCTTCATCATCGGAGTCCCGTAAATTGTTATTAATCTCTTGCAGCTGATAGCAGATACATTATTTATTTTAAAATATGTATACCTAACTATCTTATTGCATTCTAAGGATGATTATCAGTTTTTAAAATTTATTGAGAATAGTTATAATACCTATTGTAAATATCATCAAACTCGTTTAGATAAATCACAAAAAGATTTTCTTACAGCATTACCCGACTGTCAGAATAAATTTTGTAACAAAGATTTAGACCATATATATAAAGAAAAATAGAATCTAACGGGTCCATGTTGCCACTTTAAGTAAAAAAAATAGACATTAACTTAAAAAATGATAATGAATATTTTAAATGACTTATGACTATGTTAACGGAATCACTCTTGTAAAAAAATTCATTAATTCTTAAACTTTATTAACTATTTTTTATTAGTTTATAATAAAAGAAGTGGCTTCTCATGGCCATTATACCCACTTTGTCCGAATAATGGTTGTTAAAAATTGTCCAGAATTATAGTTAAAATACGTGCATTTGACGATTAGATTTCCACTTATGGAAAATATTTCTCAAAATACAAAAAATAATATAATAATAATTTCTATTCTATGATTCTATGGTTATTTCTATAATAACCTCTATATTCTTTTTTTATTATTTTTATACTTTTAGCGTTTACATACAAAACCTTTTAATCCCGAAAACAACTATAGTAATACATTTTGCCCGAATTTGGTAAAACTGCTGTGCTACTTTGTTTTGAAATAAGTCTGACCTTCTTAATCCGTGCGTTTGTTCTCTAAATAACTTTCTCTTAATATAGTTCTATATATATCATATTATTTAGACTATTACATAAGTTCAGGTTATAAACTTCTTGGTGAAATATGAATATCTTTGATAATATTTGTATATACGAGGAGTTTGTAGAAAGGTATTAATACCAGCAGGTAAGATAATTCAAAGCATTAGAGTTGTACTAAGAACAACAAAATAAATAAATAAGGTTTAGAATCTAACAATTTTTTAATTTTCTGTAGAGTTTCTTTTTTCATTTCTTTCTTTTAAGTTATTTAGGATTATTTTTACCAACTACCAACTTCAGTCGAATTAGTCAAAAATTACAATCTCGCTATATTATTTCGAAAAACTCAATGATATTTTGTATATATGTCTTTCTACAAAGTGTTAACAAATATGTCATCTAATTTTGTAGTCTTAAATAAAAATAATTTTACTTACTATTTTTTCTCGCTTACGCTAGACCTATACATATGCAAAATTAAATCTTTCAGAAAAATTTCTTTAAAGTCTAGTTCAGTATTACGTTAAAATTAGAATTATTTTCCTTTTCCCTTTAAACATACTGTAAAATATATTTCGATGGGTAGTGAAATTCATTACATAAAACACATACTGCTGGCCAATTGGCTTAGTTCCAGTGCCATAAAACAAAACACACACACACACACACATACTGAAACATGGTAAATGGTCCCATCGAACTGTGATTGTCAGAGCTACTACATATTGAAGGTTTCTACTATACTTTTAGAGGGTAAACTAACATTTGAAAATAATTTTCTTTATTAAAAGTCTTCATTTAGTTTAACCTATAGTATAGTTTACTCCTGGTAGAATTTATTTTTGTATTTTATATTCTCTTGTTGGCATAAAAGGTTTTGTCTACTTTCTATCAAAAAAACTGTAAAACCTTCATTTCTAAATAGTTTTAAGCTAAATGAATATATCAATGATTATAATAGTTTCTAGTAAAAAGTAATAGAAAAAATTAAAACCAAGCTTATGTTTTTCGAACAACATATAGGCATAAATTATAGTCAAAAACAGATAAACCGTCGCAGGCGCTAGGGAGATGTTAAAATATCAGTACTATATTGAATAAAAAATATGCGTGAAAGAGTGGTTTATTAAACAAAATATATATAACATATTTAAAACTAAAATATACGGCATAAAAAATACAGGATAAGCTTTATTTGCAAAATATATATTGATTTAAGATTCGCTCAGATATCTAAGCCAGCCCCGTGGCGAAATGCATTCACATCACTGTGAATAAAAACAAAAAGACTAAGGTGGTAGAATAAAACAGAAATGGATCTTTTACTTGAACTAGAATACGCTAGTGTAGTAGATCGGCATAGGGACAAGCAGTATAATAAAATTTATTCAATTCTATGAAAAATTTAGGGAATTCTTAACATTTGGCTATTTGGACTATTTTAAAAAATCAGTTGGATATAATAAACTTTTTAAAATTGCACATATATCATCTACTTGGAAATCGAACTATTCGGGGAATCACTGAATTCTATTCATGTGATTTTCCGTCAGAGGCTAGAGTGGTGAAATTTCACAAACTGCGAATTACGTCGGGGATCTACCTGGGGTAAAATATATATTGGCCTCAGACGATTTTTGGTTTCTAGTTTTTCTTTCTCTAACTGTTTATATGATTCCACGTAGGTGACTAGAGTGGTGGTATTTCACAAAGGGCGAATTACATCGGGGATCCACCTGGA